GATCGCCCTCGACGCCTTCCGCGCCGAAATGACCAAGGCTCTCATCGCGCTCGATGTCAGCGGTTGCACTAGCCAGCCCATGGAGGACCAGGAGGAGCACAAAATCCCCGCCGATCTCGAAAACCTGCTGCCGCTCATGAAAGAGTTGCGACGTGGCAACCTGCAGATCGAGGAGCTGAGCGCACCCGAAGTGTGGGAGAAACTCAAACGGCAGTGCCACACGTTCCTAAGGTGCTGCTGTCTGTTCTTCCACTTCCTGAGCGACATCATCCCGCCCACGGAGCTTACGGTGCGCGACGGGGATACGTGGGAGGTTATGTGCGGCTATCTTAATCTGCCCGCCACCTTCCGCGAGCTGATGGACACGCCGCTCGCCAGGAAGAAGGCAATGGAGTGGTCCTCGTACTCGAATAAATGGTTCCGCGGCGACCTCAAGCCGGAAGTCGTGTTAGACCCGGGCGAGCCGCCGCGCCTCGTGCCGCTCCCGGACGACTTCTCCGAGCTGATGAACGTCATGTCGGAGTTCTCGTGCCCGAACTCGGAGCGCGAGGACAGCAAGTTCCCGACCATGTGCCTCGTGTGCGGACAGATCCTCTGCTCGCAGAGCTACTGCTGTCAGATCGAGGTAGTGGTAGAAATCACGATATTGGTTAGTTTGCATTAAAGGCGTTAATATATAATATAAAGTGTTAAACGTATGTGCGTATGTGCAGGTGTCTGGTAGGGGCGGTGTGACCGAGCACGTGGGTGCGGTGGTGGCGCACGCGGCGCACTGCGGCGCCGGCTCCGGCGTCTTCCTGCGCGTGCGCGACTGCGAGTTGCTGCTGCTCGCCGCAGCAGCGCCATCACGCGGCGCCATGCTGCCCGCGCCATATCTAGATACATACGGAGAGACCGACCAGGTGAGTTGCATAAAAACACATACAGTCAAGCACATTAATTTCCTACCCATACTCACAATGCAATTAGGTTAAAAACTTGCCATATCAACATTACATCCGTGCTAATTAGAACTTTTATAGTGACAGTTTGCTGTAAGATATTTGATCTTAAGTGGGAAGCGAATTTAATTCTTTAACTGTATACTCCAACCCATAATTATCATAAAGATGAGTGCGTTTTCAAAAGCAAAATATTAGGATAAGGATCAAGGGGAGGGTAAAATATAACAGGAATAGGTATTGATTATTTTATTTTAGGCTTACAATGTCTACAATCTGTATTTCTGTTATCTCCAGGGTCTGCGTCGCGGCAACCCGCTGCATCTGTGTCCCGAGCGGTATGAACGTCTGC